GACACTGTCTTTTTCCTCTTTGTATCTCCAGGGCTTAGCCCAGTGCCTGGCACAATATTTATTTACTTTACAGATGAGGAAACTAAGGCATACAGAGGATAAATTACTTGCCCAAGGTCACACAGCTAGCTAGTGAGTGTCTGAGTTCAGATTTGAACTCAGGTCTTCCTGACTCCAGTCACAGAGCTCTATCCATTGCGCCACCTTGCTGCCTAGACTGGGAAGTGGGAGATGGGAAATATGGGAGGAGAATAACAGGTGTTATCTTTTTGTTTGTTTGTTTGTTTGTTTGTTTGTTTTAAAGATAACCCTTTATTCACTCCTTTTTAAGCAGGGTTAGCAGTATGTGTGGGTCATTGAGAAGCAGAATGAGTACTGGGTAGTGGCTCTGGAATCTCCCTTTTATTCCCATCACTTCCAGCTGGACGGAGCTAAAGGCCAACACTGATTTAGTCCCATTTCAGTCAGTCTAAGTCAGTGGCATCAGAGCTGCTCTTCTTTCTTCTTCTTAACACTTTGCTTGGCTCATCAGAAGACAAACCACGGCCTCTTTTACGTGAAAAGTGTCCGTGAAGGACAGTGCTCTCCCTCCTGCTTTGAGGGCACCTGGTGTCCGCCGAGCCCAGGCATAGCTTTAGTTATTGGTCAGAACTGCTGGTGCCATGCCCAAGGGTGGCGTCCTCCCTGCCTCACCCACTCCCTACATATAAAATCTTAAGTATATTCTGAAAATGGGAGGATGGAGAAACATAAGAGGGGAAAATGGTATAAAAGAAATATGTCGTGTGGACCCCATCTATTCCAGGCCCTCACAGAAGTAAGCTTTGTGACTGCTTCATTGGGAGAGGAATCACGGCAGTTCCGTAGAGGACTCTTGGAGTGTAAAGGTATCCCACAGACCCCCGAAATGTTTCTTTAGGCACTAGCTTTGCTACTGAGACCCCTAAGTTTGCTGACTCCAAATGATTCCCCAGGGAGGGTGAGAGGGACTTAGAAGCCTTGTCATTACCCTAACACTAGAGGATGAGCAGGGTTGGAAGGTACAATAAGGGAGCACAGCCAGTGAATCTGTGCCTTCACCACATTCATCTTCGTGGGGAGAATGTAAGCATATGGATTGGACCAAACAGCTGTGCCTCTGGTTCATTCTTGCCCTTCTTGCCCCATGACCCCTTGGAAGAATGTGGAAACTTTCCACATTCTTCATTAGAACATGAGCCCAATTCTCTGAATAATTCATGGCATGGTATGTTCATGGGGGGCTTGTTATGGAATTGGTATTTGAGGTTTGGGGTAGGGCCTCTTTGGCCTTCCTGTTTTTATTGAGGTTGGAGGAGTAATCTTCTGAATTCTGTCCTTCCCCAAATGTTTCCCTCTCCCACTTCATGGATGAGGAAACTCAAAACAGTCAGATGAGGTTAATGGAGCAATGTACCCATCGGGCAGTGGCAGCGCCCAAGTTCACGGTCCACCCATGGTCACAGCCTCTGAATTCAATTCTACTGTTTAGCCCACTGAGCCACTGAGTTTCCCAGGATTCTTGTTTTAAAGATAAGCAAATGGTGGGTGGGCCAGCTGCTCCTCTTTGCAGTAAAACTACCCCAACCACAAAAATTTGATTCCAAATTAAGCTGCCTCGGCTCCAACCTGACACACCACCCAATCTCAGGATAGCAAGGGCCTGGACTCCTGGCTGGAAGGATCCTTGGGGAAGATCGAACAAACATAACCACACACAAATGGAGGCTGTGTTGGGGGAGCTTGTGAAGAAAAACACCAGTACACCTGCAGCTGCGTCTGTAGGGGGACATACTCGGGAAACATTTCCAAGGTCCTGAGGGTCGAAATAAATGTGCACATGACTCAGTCCCTCCACCCCACTACAGCTCTAGAGCACATGTGAAGCTTATATACTTTGACATCTGGCAAAATATTCAGATTTTGCCAGAAGTGTGTGTTCCTGTTGGCAGTGAGTAAAAGATATTTAACATGAGTCCAAGGACGGAGTTTTCATTAGGATTCTGGAGAAAGGTACATTATTTTCTCAGGAGGGATCTTTTTCGTCCAAGCCTGTCTCCTTTTTCTGAGTTGGCGGGACGTTTGCCCTCTTTCCTGTGTGGGCCCACTTGGTGCTATACATTGGTTTGGCTGTGCACACCAGAGAGGAAGGAGCTCAGGACTTGGATGGAGATTTGTCGATGGAATTTGTAGCTTATGGGTAAACTTTTCCAGGACACAAACCAGACAGACCCAGTGAGCCCCCAAAATATGCAAGGAAGAGGGAGCCGAAGGATGTTAGTACAATACAATTCCAGATTTTCACATGCTTAAGCTAAGCAGATCTCATCCCTTTAAAAAGCCAAACCAAGCAATCATAACCACTGTGAGGAGAGCAGACTTTTCCTTGTGAAACAATATTTGAAGGTTGGGAATTAGAAGGTAGGGAGTTAGTCATGAGTTAAAATTTTGCTTTTGACAGATCCCAGCTGAGTGACCATGAGTCAATCAATCAATAAAAATTTAATAAGCACCTACTATGTGCCAGGCACCGTGAGAAGTGCTGGAGATACAAAAAAGGTGAAAGGCAATCCCTGCTCTTGAGGAAATCACAGTCTGATGGGGGAAACTACATATAAATTTTACACGGGATAAATTGGAGCTAATCAACAGAGGAAAGGCACTAGACTTAAGAAGGATTGAGAAAGACTTCCTGTAGGAGGTGAGGTTTTAGTTGAGATCTGAAAGAAACTAGGGAAGCCCAGAGGCAGAAATGAGGAGGGAGAGCATTCCAGGCTAGGGGCAGCCAGAGAAAATGCCCAGAAAGATGGAGGTCACTGAATGGTGGAGTGACATGGTGAAACCAGAAAGATTAAGTCACCTCTCAGTGTGTCCGGTAAATTCTCCAGGATTATCATTTACAGAAGACTTGCTTCTATGTATTAGTTCAGGGAAGCTTCCAAATTGGGACTTCATACTGATGAAAGCAGAGAGACCCCACCTCCCCCAAACAAACAACAACAATAACAATAATAACAGAACATCATAAGTAAAAACTAGTCACGGATTCTATACTCTTGTGAAAAGTTGAGATATGATGACCAGACTGGAAACACCTAGAGTTCAGAGGATATTTACAAATGTGTTTAGCATACAGTTCCTATGTAAGGGAGTATGTGTGTCTGCGGGGTCCATCTTGTTTTAATTTAGGATTATGGATTTTGCACTCAAATGGAACCTAAAGGTCATGGCATTTGAACTCTTTATTTCATAGATGAAAAAAACTGAAGCCTGGAGAGGCTGGACTTGTTTGAGCTCACATAAGTACCAAGTGACAGAGACAGGATTTGAACCCACTTTCTCTGCAAAATGAAAATAGCAACAAGAACCATCACATTTATCATCTATTTCTTTCATGAGCAATTTCACTATTAGTTGTGCAGTTGTTTCAGTCATGTCTGACTTTTCATGACCCCCATTTGGGGTTTTCTTGGCAGAGTTACTGCAGTGGTTTGCCATTTTCTTCTCCAGTTCATTTTACAGATAGGGAAACCGAGGCAAACAGAGTGAAGTGACTTGCCCAGCATCACACAGCTATTAAGTGCCTGAGACCAGATTTGAACTTAGGAAGATGAGTCTTCCTGACTCCAGACCCAACATTCTATCCACTATACCATCTAGCTATCCCTTTTCATTATTTACAATAACCCTAAAAACTTTTCATCTGGGTAGCACCTTGTACTTTGCCAAGTGTTCACAGACTTCTTATTTCATCTTCATGGCAAGGAGGCATAGAAAAGGATAGGTATTTTCTCCTTTAATCAACCAATCAACACATTACTAGGAAGTATCTATAATGGCACCAGGCACTTTGTGAGGCCCTGAGGAATCCAAAGAAAATGATGAAACAGGGGCAGTTAGGTGGCACAGTGGATGGAGCACCAGCCCAGGAGTCAGGAGGACCTTAGTTCAAATCCAGCCTCAGACACATTATACTCATTAGCTATGTGACCCTGGGCAAATCACTTAACTCTGATTGCCTAGGCAAAAAAAAAAAATGAAATAGATCCTGCCCTCAAGAAGCTTACATTCTATCAGATGAGACATTGTGCACACATAAAAATACATACAGAACCTTTACTGAGGGAACTGAGGCTCAAGGAGTTTACATGACTTGCCTGAGATTGGTTTCTTGATTCCTGGCCCTCAGACCTTTTCCCTACATCCCATTCATTGCCTCTCATGAGTATGCCGTTATCTAAATCTGCCTGTCCTATATCTCTTTGTCCTCAGCTTAAAGGACCTGGAGGAGAAGTTGATATCATAAAACATCAATCTAGATTCTGTTGGGATTTTTTTTTAATCTCTCTTAGTAGTGGAATGATGAGATAAAGAGACGGAAAAGTTGGATATCATGTGAATTTTGTATGTGTGTGTGTTTTGTGTGAAATGCTGATTTACTTTTCTCAAAGAAACACACCAATAAAGGCTCAGATGAGACACTGCTAGGCCATCCAAAAAGAGTGCCCACCTCCTGGACATGACTAAGGCATTGCTTTGAAAAGATCGTCTTTGGTCCATGGGGCTCACAATCTCTCCCTCCCATTCTCCCCTCCTCTCCTCAGATCAAGTTTGCAGAAGCAAAGGCACTCAGGGGGAGAAAGTGAAAACCACAACAGCAACAAAAATCGCCTCTTTTTCTTCTGATTGTGAGCCAAGAGAACCAGCTCTGGGCTGGGCTGAGCTCCTGCACCAAGCAGGAACTGCCCATGCCTCGAAGATGGGAATCTTTAAGTGAGGGGGCCCTTGCTGCTTTCACCCAATCCACTTTTCTTCATTATGATTATTATCGGCAATGCTTTGGATAGCCTCTCAGGGGCAGAGGCTCCCATTTCCGAGGAATAAGAAACAAGTTCTCCTCAAAATCTCAAAGCATCCCAAACACACACCCACCGCATGGATAAGACAAATATTTAGCCTCAGGTGACTGAGTCTCCACTTACTGTTGGCTGCATAACGTAGGGAGGGTGAGGCATCCATGAAGTGCTCTGGACCTATGTGGCAAATGGCATTTGTTAGGACAAGAAAACCACAGAGAGAACTTGACGATTTCAATGCATAGCTATGGTCTTATAGGACACTGGTCTTAGACAAATATTATAAAGCAGTTGGGAAGAGGGGCAAGACTATAGTTACAGATGATGACCTGATGATAGGATCACAGACACAGAACTAGATGGGACCTTCAGGGTCATCGAGCTCAATCCCCTCATTTTTATAGAAACTGAGTCACTGAGAGTTTAAATGATCCCCCGTGGAGGAGGAGAATGGCATGTGGCATATTTCCTATGAAACTGGGCAAGCACACACAATTTGGCTCCAGGAGGGGTGACACATGTGCCCTGGCCCTTTGCTAAAGGCCTTAAATGACCAGGGCTACTGCTTGGTCCTTTGTTCTCCATGGTGGGAATGTGTGGGTGGATGGAGGGCTATGCCAAATTGGATTGGTGACTGAGTCAGGAAAAACTGCCACATTGTAGAACGTGAAGCTCAGAGAGGCACAATTTCCCATCTCTTTTTCAAGGTGGACCCCTTTTTGGAACATGGCCAATGCCTGCTCTCTCATGGACATTCTGGCAAGGTGGGAAGAGTTAAGTCTGACAGGATGTACAATGCTCCACACCCATAATCCTCCACCTCTCCAAAGAAGGGAGTGAGGTTCTTTTTTCTTGATCTATCAATCTAGATTCTATTAGGAATCTTCTTCCTGTGTTTTGTTTTGTTTTTTTAAAGCCTCCTTAGTACTTGGTTCATGTGATGAAATCATACAGAAACTGGAGATCTAGTTTTTAGGGACCAGCTAGCTTTGCACAGGGTGACAAAGTCTTGGGCATAATCTGGGTTTAGGCAAAATATTCAGTCCTCTCTTATGAAAATGAGAATGGGAAGCACCAAGGATAGCTACAACATGCCCTGTATAAATTCTTTTTCCTTTTGGGCCCCTGAGGGTAGCACCAGTGAAGTGAGTCAGTTTATAGGGGCAGATTGTCATGTAGAAAAGCACTGAAGACATATTGACATTGAATTCATGCTGGAGAGACACACGATGTGCTGTAGACACAAAAAGCCACCAGTAGAAGCAATTCGTATTACATTACACATTGCTGCTTTTCTCTTTGGAGACTAGGAAGCTGAGGTTATATTCCACTTAAGGAAGGTCCCAAATGGGACCTGTTCTTTGCAACCATTTTCTCATAGCCCCAGAGTTCCCTATCCTGGGCTACATCATGGATGGTCTTGGCCAACCTCAGAACCAAAATACTACACATTGCCCAGCTCACAGAGAATAAACTTGCATGACACCTGTACGTGCTCTCTTTGGTCCCAAGGAAAGGCAATTAGAAGCACAGTAACCCCACGATCATGCAATGCCAATAAAAGGCTCCTTTATTTACTCCCAAAAATTTACGGAGAATGTAAGCTCTGTAAGTAATGAACGAGACTGGATCTGGAGAGGGGGCATGGGGTCACAGGAGAAAAAACGGTTGTGTATTTGATGGTCTAACAGTCGAGATAAGCTGGAATGTGACAGAGGAAGGTCAGGATGGAGGGTGACTTGACTGAATTAGGGAGCAATTCACTATACCACATGGACAGATCAATGAGGGTGCAGGGTGAACACCTTTCCCTGTCTTCAGAACAGACATGCACATGTGCAGGCACACAGTAAAAATTAACACGGACATCCATCCAAGAATTCTATGGATGTTCCTGTGAGGACAGGTAGGGCTGTTTAGAAAATAAGCATAGGTTAGGAGGATAGGACAAGCACAGATAAGTCAGATATCTAGGACCATGGAAGAAAAATAATAAGGACTTTTTTTTTTTAATCTTGAGAGGGAATTTTTTTCTCTTGCAATTTGTATTGAGAATTAAACAGGTGGACCGAGATGTCCTTACCTTTCCATGCCTAGAACCTCTGAGGTCTTGGCTGACTATTTCAGAATAGTGTAGGAGGTTAGAAGAGAGTTTGGCAATGACCTTCTACCAATTGGACACCGAGTCATACGCTGAAGAAATGGGGTAGTAGCCATTCGATACTTTTTCCCAGAGCAACCATGGCAAAGAGAGGTTGAGATGACAACATGTCATAGAGGGAAGGGAAAATGGCTAGAAACAATCCCTTTATGTCCCATCCCACCCATCCCCACCTGCTGTTGAATGGTAATATGCACACCTGTAAATAATGTATGAGTACTAGAAAACTCAGAAAAGTCAAGTATGTGCTTGTTCTGATCTTGAAGCTAACATTGAGCATGTAATCAGAAAGAACGTAGCACTTAACAGGTTCAGACATTGCATGTCCCTTCTCTCAACATTGTTACAAAATGTCTCCTATCATCCGCTGCCACCAGTCCCTTTAGACAGGGAGAAAGTTGGAAAATCTGTTATCGTCTCACATTTGGTGATGCTTTGGGACCTTGGGAGTTGGTAGCAAAGTTCAGTTTCGTGTTTTATCCCATACTAGATGTCGTTACTATCTATGATCACAACTGCAAATTAACCCTTCTTTGCCTGCCTCAGCTCACAAGGGCATTTAAAATGTACTAAAATTGGTAATTTTTTATTAGAATATGGACAAAAATGCTTTTATGGATGTGGGAAGCACTGTTATAATGATACATTCAGTGAAGGCACAGCTAGAAAAAACAAACAAATAAAAGGAATGATAAAATAATAACAGACAAGGAATAAAATATGATCTCAAACAAGAGAATCCTTAGAGGGTGTAAATGGAACACAAGCAAAAACAGGAAGACTTCAAGAACGAAATGAAAAAGCTGGGAATTACACTTGAAGTCCTTTCCCAAGGAGGAATTTGTGGCTGCCGGTGGCTGAGGACTGCTGTACGTGCTTGGGAGATAAGGTATGACTGAAGTGTACAAGGACACTTGCATTTTTTGCTTCCTTCTTCTATTCATTCTGTCTCTGTCCATTTGGAAACCTCTTCTCATCCAGCGAGACCCCCCTGGAGATGCAAGTGAGGCTGACATACCTGATATGTGGACACGGGGGAAGCAGCAATGAATGGCGTGAGAGATGTCTGTGGAATCATGCGGTTTGTTGCAATACTGTACGGTGGAGAATAAAATCTGCAAACAGAAAGAACAAAGGAAGATTCCTGAGCCACCTGCACTGCTGGTCCCCAACACCTGCCCTGCCTTCCTCGTCGCAAACCTCGGGGACCAGGTACTGAGTGAGGAAAGGTGTGGAGCCACTAGCTGCAGGAGGAGAATCTTTGGGTCCTTTTGAAACCTTGATCTTCAAAGGTTCTCACCATAAACAGAGAATAACGTAGTCTTTAATTAATTTCTTAAAAAGCCACAAGACTCTCGGAATTGATTTTTTAAGCCGAAATCAACGACTACAACAGGCCCCCAAAGCAGGAGAAAGTTGCTCAGCCTGGTTCCACTCAATGGAAGAAGATGCCCCTCGCAGAATAAACTCATCACCTCTAATCTCATCACCATGCTGCTAACTCAAGCCCTAATTGACACCACCTGCTTCAGTCTTCTCTCCCCTCTGATCAGAGGATTGGAGGATAGAGTCCTCCACTTCATAGAGGGGCAGAACCTGGACTCTGTCTGGGTCACTCCGCTCTGTATCTGCTGCTCCGCCTGGTTTCAATTCCAGGGAACAAGCTACCCCCTGGATCCCTCCCACCCCTTTCCGGATTCCTTTTGTGTGATGGCTCCCTCCATTAAACTGTAAACTCCCTGAGGGCAGGGACTCTTTCTTTTTGTATCCCTAGGGCTCAGCCCTGTGCCTGGCACATAATAGACAACTAATTAGTGGCTATTGGATTGGATTGGCTTATTGTGCTCTCCCACCAGAAGGTGAAGAGGAGAAAAAAGTCAACTCTTCCTGTATTAAATCAAATGAGATAATACATAAAACACTTTATAAATCTTAAAGTGCCATATAAACCTAAGCTACTATCAGCTCTTATAATGATAATTTGAGCACAGAGAGGAGGGTGAAGATAGGGTTGGTGCAAACTGAGACTCTGCTGCACTCTGGGTACCCCCCCCCATCTCCCCAATCCCTGTTGATGTTGTCAGGTGCTGCCATCCAGGTCACTTCTGCACCTTTCTCTGTGACTCCTCTCCATCCTATTTTCCCAACAATGGGACTCCAGTGTGGTAACCTGCTGCCACCCTACCTTTCCAGTCTTATTATTATCTATGATTTCCCCTTGACATGCTCAGCGCTATAGTCAAAACAGATATGCACTACACTGTCTCACATTCTATTTTAGTTCCTGTTGTTCCCTATGGAATAACTTCCTTCATCTTTTCCTTCCTGGTCACCACCACTGGTCATCATCTTTATCTCCCTCCAACTGGAACCTTGAGCTCTGCCCCTGGTTCCCCCAGCTGCCACGGGGCAGCTTTTCTGTGTGTGTGCCACTAGGAAGGGGGTGTGTGCCTCCTCTTGCTTTCCAACACCTCCTATGCCTTATTTTCCTCCATTAAAATGGAAGCCCCTCAAGGGCAAGAACTGTCTGACTTGTTTGCTTAGCACAGTGCCTGGCATACAATAAGAGCTTAATAAATGTTCCCATTCCCTATCTCCTCCCTCCCCCTTCTCTGGTTCTGTCTCTGTGTTTCTATCTCTGTCTCTCCAATTCCTAACCAACCTTCAAAGCTCCAATGAAATATCATCTCTCCTATGAAACCTTGCTACTTCCCTGGTCAATAACAACCTTCTTCCCTGGACTTCTCATAGCACTTTGCTTTGTAATAATAGCAGCACCACTTATACGGCGCCTACTCTGTGCCAGGCAGGGTGCTAAGCACTTTACAATTAAAATCTCATCTGAACCTCACAGCTGCCCTGGGAGGTGGTATGCTCTTCTCTTCTTAAAAATTTTATCTTAAACTTAGGAAACCTCCTATGACACTTGTCTACCATTTGCCTTACAGTTCTCCACTATTAGAGCTTACTGCCCTATTAGATGGCAATCTCCATCGGGACGGGGATGATGTTTTAGCTACACTTTCTAACCCTCTCCTCAATCCCTACCACAGATCTCCATACATAGCAGGCATTCAGTGGTTGTTGTCCTTCGTTCTTGAAGAAGACCAAAATGACATCACTACACTGGGGCCAAGGTACAGTGTGTCCAACTGCGGCTGATCAGACTAATATGAGCTCAGAAGGCTCTACCACAAGTCCAACACAAATAGTCCATATAGATATTTGGAGTGAAGGTGTCTCTAAATATGTATAGCTCACTTTTCTTTTAAGCTACTGCAATTCTGCTTTGCTCATAGAGCACAGCGCCTTCTTTGATGTGGGTGTGCCATGTGGGGCAGTGAATGTTGAACGAACACAGTTCTGTTTTATAAAGGGGGCATCACCGATATAGTGGATAGTTTGCTGACCCTTGAGTCAAGAACATCTAAGTTTAAATCCTGCCTTTAACATTCATTCACATGTGATTACGGACAAGTCACCTAACTTATTGTGAGCCTCAGTTTCCCTAGATGTAGAATGAGAATAATAATAATGCCTTCCCAACAGGGCTGTTATAAGGTGCAGACAAGATGATGGGTTTTAAGTGTTTTGCAACCTTTAAATGTTATGGAAACATCAGATTTTAATGATACAAAGAAACAGTATGGCCTGGTTAAAGACTTGGCCTCAGTAATAGGCATAGTTCATTTCAAGTCATTCCTAGGACTGTGTTACTCTGGCCAAGTCACTTAACTTCCCAATACCCCAGGCAGCTCTCAAAGCCTACATGTTGCAGACAAGTGGCCATATTGTGTTGAGAGAGAGAATTCCCTCACTTGGGAGTGCCCTATATTAATGAAATCACAAGTCCAGGCCTTATACCTCTCTTTTAAATAGCCGTTATACTTACAAATCTCTCTAGTCACTGAATAATTGAGCTTTTGCATCTAGCAAAGTCTTTGGATTTTTCTAAGGAAGAATGTGGAAGGGGAGAGGCCAAAGGGGGAGTTAGATCATGTCTTAATAAGTAGCAGAGGTGTTGATGCTTCTGACTGTCTGGTAGAGAGGGTCCCCTCCATCCCTCATCAATCAATAGCCCTGGGAAAAAGAAATTAGCAATAGTCAGAGAAAACAGTCACTCGGCAAGGGCTTTCTGCCTTTGTTTTCCCTTAGTGAGAGGTCTGAGCCTTTAGGAAGCTCTCCTACTGGTGGAATTTAAAATCAGTCTTCTTTAATGCCCCATGTTTCAGTGAAAGCCCAAAGTAGGTCAGTCAAAACAACCTGAGGGCTGAAAAGGAAGGGGCTTTCATTGAGGAGGAGGATAAAGAAGGAGAACAGGGAACTTGGGAAAAGGAGATAGAATCATTCCCTAAAGGCAGAGGCTCTCTTTTCTCTGCCCCTCCCTATCGGAAATGAGAGAGGGTAAGCAGCATAAGGAGGCACCCGGTAAAGGGAACAAAGACCACAGAATCATGACTTATTGCTAGAATGGACCTTAGAGGCCATTTTACAAATGAAGAAACTGAGGCACAGAGGTTAACTGACTTGCCCAAGGCCAAACAGGTAATAAATATCTGGTCAGGATTCAAACTCAGGTCTTCCTAACTCCACGTCCACCACTCTATCTACTGTACTACTTGGCCGTCTTTAGGTAGCTCTTGTAGCACAGTGCTAGGCACAGAGGAGCTCACATACACTTATTGACTAAGATAAGAATTATAGGATCATAGATTTAGGACCAATAGTGATGTAAGTAAGTCAGCTAGCCTAAATGCCTCATACTGTAGATTCATCTCACTTTGCCTTATATCATGGGGCCTCCCATGGCTTGTTAGGGGTTAGTTCCTTGGATATCATGTGTTAGAATGATTCAAGAAACACAACCCTTTGCTTCAGAAAACAAAACAAAACAAAACAAAACGTGAATGTATACCATCCTCTTTGGTAATGTACTTGACATATTACTTAGGAGGCAAGGAATGTTACAATGCTCTTTGTTTCATGGCAGGTGACTTGTTCCCAGGGATGACCTTGTCCACACACCAAACACTCCCCACTTGCCACAAGCTGTGCCCAGAGGCTTTTGTCTGGGTCAAATGTCCTGCTGCTCCTGAGATAAGGTCATTCACTGCTAAGCCAATCACTAATCATATTTCACCTTGGATAGTCTATTTTGTAAAATGCACCAATTGGTGTCTCAGAAATGAAAGCTGTCAGGAACAGATTGACAGGAAGAGTTTACGGGAAACTCTATGGGGAAACTCGATAACAGAAACATAAATAAAGCATAGCAGTAAAATGATACTAGGAAAGGTAACCCTGGAGAGAAACGTTAATGCATTTTTGTTCTCTTCGCTCTAATCCTATCCATCAGACAAGTAATGGCATTCCACACTCTCTGGCAAGTTCAAACATTGCCACTCCGAGGCAAAAGAGTCATTTAGATGGAAAAACGTAGTGGGGTGAAGCAACTCACTGCACTATCTTGATCCCCTAATTCCGGGTCTTGGAAATAAGCCCTTCCTAAGTCCAAACATACACTAGCCAAATTTTCAGGAAATGCTTGCTTAAGCCAAGGCATGAAGGACAGCTATTTCATCAGCAGCTTAGTAGGTGAGTTATCTGAAGAAAATAAACATAACCAGACTTCCGTGAGGCTGTGGAAAAAAATAGGTTCCTCAATCTCTCTCCATTCCCCTGTGCCTGCACCATTTATCTGTCACGCTTTTGAAAGCACTTTCACACAGGTATCAAATGAAAAATTATCCACCAACACAGATAAAACTCTGAAAGCACATGGCTCCTTGCTTCATGGGATGGGATAGAGAGAAGATTGACAGAACTCTTTACCTCAAACAACCAAGCTAGTGTAAGTGGGAATGCAGGACGCTATCTTTTTGGATGGGGAAGTACTTAATGTGCCTTGCCGATGCTATTGCTGGGAGCTGAGGCTGAGTCCTACTTGGCACTCAATGGTCGATTTCTCCAGGGAGAGATTTTTCTCCTGTGACATCCACAAATGCACAAAGTTTTTATGATTTTTGTCAGCTTCCTGGTGTAGCAACTCCTCCCCAAAGCAGATGGCAACCCATGCCACTAGGAAAATCAAAAAGGTCATGAACAGCAAGGAACCTCAGAGGCTATTTAGTACCACCCCCCCCATTTTACAGGTGAGGAAACTGAGTCTGAGCAAGGTTAAGTGACTTGTCTAACGTCACCTTGGTAGTAAGCACCAGTATTAGAACCCGGTAACTCTGATTCCAGAGACAGTGATCTTTCTACTGCACTGAGTCTGAGGGACATAGATGTTAAATGACTTGGCCAGGGTCACAGAATCAATTGTTTCACAGGTTTTGAATCAAAGAATGATGGATTCTGAGACCAGCTCTCTATCTTTCCGCCATGATGCCTCGCCATAGGAGTAGAAAGCTCTACCTTTCTGCCATGATGCCTCACCATAATAGTAGATAGCTCTATCTATAGCTAACATTTACATATCACTTTATACATGTGATCTCATTTGATATTCCCAACAACCTGGTGGGTATGTTCTCTTATTATTCCCATTTTAAAGATGAAGAAATCTGGGCAAAGAGGGCTCGTGTCTGTTGCCCGGGGTCACACAGCTAGAAGTGTCTGATGCAGGATATGTATCCAGGTCTTCCTCACTACAAATCCAGAACTTAGTCCAGCATACTAGCCATCTGCACACTTCCCTACCCACCGAGTACCCATTAATCTGTTACACAGAATGCTTAATGCTAAGGTATCAAAGACGTAACTAGAATATGTGGCTCCGAAGATTTTAAGGGCTTCTTTGGGGAACTCTGAATGTTAAGGAAATGCAAAAAGTGCCTCGGTTCCCTGGAATTTAGAAAGGCTGCCCTCCAGAAATCCACAGACTCCAAGCTGAGGTCCCTAATAGAATATTATTTTGTGGACAGAAATGTTATCTTTGGGGGATTTGGCAGTCGGTAGCAATATGGTAAAATCTTATTGCACTGACAATAAAAATAACATGAAAATGTCAATAACCCCAGGGTAGAATGTCTCCTCTAGCAAAGAAACTGCACTAAATGCTAGTTACACATGGAAATAAACATCCTGGGTTCCTGTCTCATGTCCACGGGCAATATTGCAAAAGTCAGCATCATGAATACTAACCTCAGGGTAACACAACAACCCAGTATTAATGAGGCTTCCGTCATTTTTACTGTAATTCCAAAGTATCCTTAATACAGGATTTAGTGCTAGTGTTCTAAGGTAAAGGTTTCTCTGTTACCTAATAACAAATGCCCATATAAAACACCTTGGATGGCAGGCACACTGTACACAGGGAAGCTGGTCAGTCTTGGGTTCTTGCTCAAGAATAAGGCCACTGTAAATAACTAACATGGCGCAGGATCCGCTTAGAGCTGAGTCCCATAGATTTCACCTTTGTAACATCTCTCGCATATGTGCCCTTCTCTCCTCTGACCCTGCCCCCACCCGGGTTCAGGCCCTTATCATCTCACACCTGGACTGTTGTAATAGCCTGTGGGCGAGTCGGCCTCTCTCCTCATTATAATCCTTCAATCAGCTGTCACAGTGATCTTCCTCAAGCGGAGACCAAGTCATCCCCCCACCGCCAAACAATCAACTCCTTGGCTCCCTATCACCACCAGCATCAAATCCTCTGGTTAGTGTTCAAAGTCCTTCATTACTTTCCCCTCCCTCTCCCCCACACCTTTCCAATCTTCTTAAATCTTACTTACCCCTATCTCCTACTTCGCAATTCAGCAACACAGAGCTCCTTACTGTTTCTCACACAAACACTCTATCTCCCGACTTTGGGTATGTTTACTGGCTATCCCCCATGTCTGTGAGTCTCTCTTTCCTCATCTCCTCCCTGGCTTCCTTTACCTTCTTCACCTGACATCCCACTTTCTAATGGAAGCCTTTTCTAATCCTCCTTAATTTTAGTCCATTTAGTCAGCTAGGTGGCTTTGGTGAATAGAGTACTGGGCCTGGAGTCAGGAAAACCTGTGTTCAAATCTGGCCTCAGACACTTAAAGACTGTGTGACCCTAACCTCAGTTTCCCCAACTAAATGGAGATAATAATAGCACCTACCTGCCAGGATTGTTGTGGGGATCAAATGAGATATATTTGCAAAGCACTGAGCATAGTGCCTGGCATACAGTAGGTGCTTAATACATGCTAATCAATCGACACTAATCCTACTGGCATTAACTCCAACTGACATTAACTCCAAGAACATTAACTCCTACTGTTTATGAATCTTGTGCTCTAGCCAAATTTCTTTATCCATTATCCTAAATACACAATGTTGCATGCTGTCATACCTCTCCATGTACCATTGCTTGTTGCTTGGATTATTGACTCCTTTCCTTTTTATCCATCTTTCAAAGATCAACCCTTTCTTCATACCTTCCAAAATCACTCTAGTTATAACTTAAGCTACTTCTCAAAACTAATTCCTAAAGCATTACTTGCTCCAGCACCTGCCGCACGCCACCTCATGTGGTAGTTATTTGTGTGCTTGTGTCCGCAAGTAAATAGGAAGCTCTCCAAGGCCATATTTCTGCATCCTATATTCTGAAATGTCCGTTGTGCCAAGCCCAGCACCTTACCCAGAGAAGCCTTGGGTAAGTACTTGGTGAATGAATGAATAAGCATTACTCACTTTCACTCACTCAATCTCAGAGTGTTAGAGCTGGACGGGACCTCAAGAGGCAACCCTCTCATTTTAGAGTTAAAGAAACTGAGACTCAGAGAGGAAAGATGACTTGCTTTCCGTCACAGAGTTGGCTGATGCTCAAATCCAGGTCATGTGACTTCAAGTCTAGTGTTCTGTCCAGCATACTATTGCTGTCTCCCTTAATGGGACTGGTTTTATTTTCCCTATCACTCTTCTTGGTGTTTCAATATCCAAAGGAACTATTTCTCTTTGCCATCTTAAGGCGCACCAACTGTTCCTTCCATTCTGGCTTCTGAAAAGTACAGGACTATTGTAGGTCACTAGGAGGGATAACACTAGCAGAGAAAGTTTAATTGTATTGATAATATTATCTGTAATTATAAAGCTAAGTCATTTTTCATAGCCCTCTAAACTACAAACAAATCTTTGGTTCTCAGTAAAGTGGCAGAATAAAGAAAAAGAACCATTCAAAACAACAACAACTAGGGGAATCTGGGCATTTAATAATAATAACATTAACAACAATAACAATGATAAACATAGTTAACATTTGCATAGTGTTTTAAGCTTGCAAAGTGCTTTAAATATGTTAGCTCATATGATCCCCATAAAATCCCTGAGAAGGAGGTGCTATTATTATCCCCATTTTACAGATGAAGAAACTGAGGCACAGAGGGGTTAATTATATATATATATTACATATGTTATATTATATGTTATAATATTATATATAACTATATTATAGCCAGTAAGTGTCAAAGGAAGGATTTGAATTCAGGTCTTCTTCAATCCAAGTCTAGTACATAAATTGAGAACAATTACATGAAAGACCATGAAGGTATTAGCAGTCACTAGTGGTTATCTATACAGAAAATGTCTCTCAGCTTAGATATTCCCTTTTTCACATCCTCTACTCCCGCCCACACAGCTTCAACTCGGAAAGATGCTATAAGATTAATGGGCTTAGGAAATAATGAAATCAGGGGATATAAGAGGTCATTTAGAATCTTGGACACTTTAAGGGAAGAATGAAAAGAACAAAAATAGTGGGAAGTGTCTTGCCTAGGGTTTCCTGTTGCTACCCTTGAGTGAACAGAGACAGATGGAAGAGAAAAGAAAAATTTTTGACATATTTTTCTTTATGATATTTTGAGAGCTTTAAAACATCTTAGAAAATATCAGTAAAAGTTATTTTAAAACAGAAAATATGGCACTACTTACCCATTCTGTATAGCAGCTGTGGGGTCATAGGTCAATGCCATGCCAGGCTGGATATAGTTGGGAAGAAGAGAAAACAGATTTCAAAAAATCTTATTATCATGCCCAAATCATCAACCTCCCCTTCTCTCTCCTTCCTCTGATTTAAGATAATTTTCCTTCTATGATTAATTCCTCATCAGGGCTTTTAGGTCAGAATTTTTGCTCACACACCCTCGTAGCCTCCACCCCTAATGAGATTATGGGAAGTTTATCACATCTATGTTGACATGCCAAGAGAGAGATGTAGCTTCAATGATGTTCTTTTCTGCTTCATAAACCAGCCCCTGTTTGATCTGGTGTTCTCATCCCTTCTTATTCCTGTTAAGAAGGCCTAGCCCATGTTTATCACTTTCAAAAATGCAATCCCGAATCTGTATACTAGGAGAAAACTTTTAAAATCTATTCAACACACATTGAACCATTTATGAAGAAAAAGTGCCAAGAAAATGATTATTTTAAAGGGATTGGAGAGTCCTAGGAAAAGATAATATGACAGGCTATTCCCCACTAGGATCCTGCTTCCACTCTTAGTGGCTGGAGGGGAAGGTCTTTTGCACTTGAGATAATAATAATAACAACAACAGCAATGACGATGATGGTGATGATGGTGATGATGATGATGGTAATGGTGATGATGATTCGAGGACTTTAGTCTAATCAGCATGACAAAACCTGAGCTCTGCTTCTAAGGTCAGGGTAACCACACAGAGAGTCACAAGGCATAGACTTAACAAAGGTCCTGAATTAACGTTGCACCCTCAGAGATATAGGTCCCAGATTTAGAGTCGGCAGGGATATCAAAGGACATCAAATCCAACCTTCTCTTTGACAGAAGAGGAAACCGAGACCCAGAGAAGATAAGAATTATTACAGTCGTGGATTTAGAGCCAAGACAGACCTCCCAGCCATCCAATCCAACTCTGCCATTTTTCAGACGACTGAACAGCCCAGAAAGGTTAAGTGACTATTAGGATAAAAGATTTACTGTTTAAAGAGACTTCAGAGATCCTTTTCTTCAACCCCCTCATTTTGTACATGAGGAAATGACTACTTGGCTCAAAAACTTTGAGTTAGAAGGACCTCAGATTTTACAGATGAGGAAACTGAGAACTAGAGAGGTGAGGTAAGTATCTAGTGGGCTCTTAGGTCTAGAGATAGAAGGAGTCTCCCAGACGATCTGCTCCAACACTCTCATTTTGAACATGAGGAAATGGAGGTTTGAAGATGTTTAATTACTATCTGGATCACAGATGGAGTGAGAAGGGTCCCTTCACTTTACATATGAGGAAGCAGAGGCCTAGAGAGATTGACTATTAGGGTCCTAGACCTCAGAGCTCATCGAGTAAAACTTTCTTATTTTACCTAAGAGGAAACTGAGATCCAGATGAGCTAAGTGACTATTAAGTGAAATGGGACCTCAGAGGTCATCTAGCTAAACTTCTTTGTTTTATAAATGAGGAAACTGAGTCTCAGCCAGGTTAAGACTCGAACAAGGTTACAGAGCTAACAAGGGGCAAAGCTGGGGTATGACCCAAGTCTCTAGAATCCATACCTAGCTTTCTTTCCACTGTACTATTCAGGTTCCCAGTAAGTGCCTCTGCCAGGGCAGGGTTGTTTTGGGGAGACTGTCCTGCTCCCTGCCAGTGCAGCCCACTTGTATGAATTAAAAATGAACATTACAACTTTTTTTATAACTGTCTAAATTTTCTTTAGGTTTAGAGTTGGCACACATGTTGCTATTCCTATTTTTCATTTATTTATTTATTTAATTCTTATTGAATTTGAAATGCTTTTCTAAGGAAATGGAGTTTTATTTTGTTTTGTTTGGAGGAACTTCTGAGGTCTACTCTTTTTCTCCCAGAAGACAAATGGAAAAATTAAAAACTGGCAAAAAAAATAGCCTTGTTGTTTGTTTGTTTTTCAGCATGACTAAGGGTAGTCTTCCTGGTGGGTTTGGTGGGCTCTGTGCATTGATAAAATGAAAATTGTCTGGCTCCAAAGCACGTGGCCCAAAGCCAGTGCAGCTTATAACATGATTCACATACTGTAGGTGGGCCCACTCTAAATGGGGTACAGAGTTGAGGGTTTCCCTTTAATATCTTCTTTGACTCCACCTTATAATTATCAGGATCACAGATTTAGAGTTGGAAGGGGCCTTTGAGGCCACTGAATCTAAACCATTCACTTTACAAATGAGGAAACTTAGACTGAAAGGGGTAGCAGCTGAATGGAAGGTGGACTGGAGTAGAGAGAGAATGGATATTAGGAGACCAATCAGGGGGCATATACAAAAGTGGCAGTTGTATGAGTGAAGAGAAAATTATGAAGATTAAATAAAAGGCTAGATTTGAAAACACATTGGCTACTTGGGGTGAGCATCAGTAAAGAGTTGAAGATGACCCTGAGCTTGCAAGCCTTGGTATCTGAGAGGATCGTGATGCCTTCCTCAGTAACAAGAATGTTGGGCAACTGAGAAGTTTGGGGGGAAACAAAATGAGTCCTATTCTGAACTATTTTGAGTTTGAAATATCTATGGAATATCCGATTCAAGATGTCCAAAAGGCAGTGAGAGATGCAAGACTAGATGTCAGGAGAATGCCTAGGGCTGGACGTATACACCTGAGAATCATCTGCATTGAGATGATAATTGAACCCATTGGAACTCAGAAGATAACCAAGAGCAAAAAGAGGAGGGGGCCCTAGATAGAGTCTTGAGGGATACCCAAAGTTAGGGGCCTGCCCTGGATGAAGATCCAGCAAAGGAGACTGCGAAGGAAGGCAGGTCGGAAGAGAACTGAATGAGCAGTCCTATGGAAACCTGTACTGATGATAGTGTCTAGAGAAGAGGGTGATCAACAATGTCAAAAGCTTCAGAGAGGTCAAGAAGAAGGACTGAGAGAAGGCCATTGCATTTTACCATTGAGAGATCATTGGTAACTTCGGAGAAAGCAGTTTCAGTTTAATAATGAAATCTGATGCTAGGTTTGGAAAAGCTCCTGTGAGATAGCAAATCAATTAGTGAGGTACAAAAGGATTGCCAAGGCATCTAGATGGACTAATGGATACAACACTGGCCCTAGAGTCAGGAAGACTTGAGTTGAAATTCAGCCTCAGACACTTACTAGCTGCATGACCCTGGGCAAGTCACTTAACTTTGTTTGCCTCAGTTTCCTCATCTATAAAATGAGATGAAGAAGGAAATGGCAAACCACCCCAGTATCTTTACCAAGAAAACTCCAAATGGGGTCACAAAGAGTCAGACATGGCTGAATAACAGCAAAAGGATTGCCCAGCTGCAATGAGGGGCCAGGTCAGAGAGGATGTAAGATAAATTTGTAGTGGGTTGAGTCAGCATAATTTCATGGTTTTCTCTTGCTCAAATCAGCACCACATTAATAGGAATGAAATTACCAAATAGGGGGAGTAACCTAAGGTTTTGGTAAGGAATGATGGTTGACAAGGATTCCAGAGTAGAAAATGGCATAGCATTGAAATGGTATACCAAGGTGTCAAGGTAGAGAAGGCAGGAATGTGCAGTCATTGAACGGGTGACAGCCAGTAAAACTACTGAGGGTGGGGAGGGAAGGGAGGTCAAGGTGGGGATGAAAAATTGGCTTAGGGGTCATAACACTAAGGGAAAGATGGAATTATAAAAGATTATCATGGGATAAAGGAATGTTGGAGGTTCAGAGGGAGGGTAGAATGAGGGTTATTGTTCTCCTTTTTATACCAAGATCTTAGAATTTACTCTGCCTTCCTTTGGCCCTGTGGATTGTCACAGAGACCAGAAATATTCTTCAGGGCTACAAAGTCTATATTATATTCCAGTGTGTCATCATAATATTCTTCCATTCTATGTTATCATCACAACTATTCCCCTTTCTCCATTTTCACAGCTAACATTTCTGCAGCATTCTAACATTGGGGAAGCCCTTTATGTACACAATTTCACTTGAGCCTCACAAAATCCTTGTCAGGGAAGTGCCATCCCCATTTTACAGAGAAGAAAACTGGGGCTTAGGGGAGTTAATTAACATGCTCAGGTGAGTAAGGAACCAAATCACAAAGGCAGAAAACTGCACGAAAGATTTAAGGAATAGGGAGGACATTGATTTGGCCAGAAGAGAAGGTTTGTGTAGGGGAATGATGAGTTGATCAGATTGGAAAGTAGGACAGGAACCACTATGGAAAGCCTTCGATGCCAGGCTGAGGGGTCTAGATTTCATCTGGTAGATCAGGTGGAGGCCTTATAGACTTTCAAGCTGGGTTTAAAGCAGTGTTTTAGGAAGATTATTTGGTAGCTGTGTGTGTGAAGAATTGTGGGAGTGATATTAGGGAGGGAGAAAAACCAGGGAGGAGATGGCAGCAGTTCCTGAAATGCCCTGTAGTGTTGAGGGCCTGTACATGGATAGTGGCAGAGGAAATAGAAACAGAAGAATAAATGTGAGGGAGATCACAAAGGGAAGACAGGACCTGTTGCTTGGCTGACAGGATGTAGAGTAGGGTAGAAAAGGGAAGTCAAAAGACATCTCAGTTTTTCAGCCAGGGAGATTGTAAGAACAATGTTCACACCTTGCTAGAAACAGGGCAGTGAGGAGAAGGAGCTGATCTGAGGGAGAGATGATGAGCTTACATTCCAACATGGTAAGTGGAGGGTGTCAAGGAGACATCAGAAAGGAGACATCTAGTAGTCAGTGAGAGATGAGAGATGGAGCTCAGGGCTAGAGATGTCAATTTAGGACTCATTCGTGAAAGGGTAATGGTGAAAACCATAAGAATAAATAAGATTTCTGCTTGAGAGAGTCTAAAGAGAAAAAAAACCTAAAAGTTTAGAGATGGGATTAATTTTGAGGCCCTCCCATGTTTAGGGTACGGGACAAGAAGAAATACAAAGAGCGGAGGAAATGGAGAAGCAGCAGCCAGAGAGATGGAAGGAGAACTGGGAGCACATAATGCCACCAAGATAGATTCCTTCCAAAATGTTCCACCCTCCAAAAGCGATTGGGCC